ATTCTTTTCACCAAAAAGTTCAACCTACTGAAGCTTTCAAAAAGATAGCTCAAGAAGAGCAGATAAACCTTTTGAAGCTAAAAACGCTGTCTTTTACTCGCTGGGCGTCATCGTACAATGCTTTGAAAAGTTTGTATTTGAACTACCCTGTCCTTAAAATGTACTACCAAAGTAAAATAGAAGAACAGAAAAAGAAACCTAAAAAAACCAAGTATGAGCCAAACTCTGACGACTACAAATACGACCCATTTTCTGATAACGGCGAGGATGAACCAAACCCTTACGAATATGATTCAAATTCTGATGAGGACAAGGATGAGCCAAATTCTTATGAGGACAACGATGAGCCGAACCCTGACGACGATAAGGATGAGCCAAACCCTGACGACGACACAGATGAGCCAAATTCTGACGACGGCACAGATGAACCAAATTCTGACAACGACACAGATGAGCTAAATTCTGACGACGACAAAAATGAGCCAAATTCTGATGAAGACAAGGATGATCAGAACTTTGACGACGACAAAGAAAAGCTGCGAAAAGTAAAAAAATCAAAAAAACCAAAAGGTCAAATGAGCACTGAAGAACTCAACAACTTTTATTCATCTAATATCAACTATGTTTGGATTGAGCTGCTTCTGAAAGTTACTGAGCGATTCCACTTAAGTTCGCAGAAAGTTCAAGGTGAAGAGATAAGTTTAATGGAAGGCCGCGGTGTTGCTACCAAACTTAAAGATTTCTGCAACAATACGCAAAATACAATCAACCTTTTGTTTGACACCGACACGAGTTTAGGCTCAAACTTTGCCGACCTTGACGCAAATGAGCAGTCGAAAATTCGCAAAGGAATCACAACTTTGCTGACAACCTCTGGCGCTTATCTGACTCAATGGCTTGAAGAGTACGATCAATACAGTGTGTTTAATTGGGTACTTCTTGACAAAACCGTCGAGTTGAATGAAGTTAAAGAAACTCTCAATTTCTTAGAATCAAAAGGGATTTTGATTGAGTACACCCGTCAGAGTTTGATTGATGAGATAGACTCTTTGAATGAAGCTTTCAGAGAAATCTACCTTTTTGAAGATCGAAACGAAAGTCCGCTTATTGAAAAATGGAACAAAGTTCTTGAAACAATGCGCCTAAACAATTCTCTGCCAGATATTATGCAACAACTTTCTTCTATTGCTTTGTCGTTGTCGCCGTCAAACTCAGTGCCTGAAGGAATCTTCTCTCAAATGAAGCATTTTTGGAGTGACCGAAAGGCAAATATTGACTTTTGGTCTGTTTTTGCATTTATCATGATCAAATTCAACTTGTGCAAAACTATCTCTATTGCAGAATTTAA